TAAATGAAAACTCAATGCTGACGAATGCTGCATTTAATTTGCCTCTTTGGAAAACATACTTCAGGAAAAGGAAGTATGGGCAGCATCTGCATTCATTACATCTATTGTCAGTAAGAACTGCACCACAAAGCAACATCTGTTCTAGAAATCTTCAAGGCGGGTTTGTCCCATTAGACATTAGCATGCAGAACTCAAACAAGGGGCATAGATTGAGCTTCTGATAATCTCCCCCCAAGGTTTGAAAACTTGGTGACCCACTATGTCAGACTCAACTCATCAGTAATGCACAGCAGTTCACTCAAACACTGGTAAACCCTCTGGTTTTGCTGCTTACCTAAGATGGCAAAAGAGCAAGAAGTTCACAATACAATATATTCTTTTGGTGGAATATAAATTATGCTCAGGTCTTTATGAAGCAACTATTTAGCATTAGCAGTCATCAAAACCCAAGCAGAAAAACTGAAGAACCATTAGTCTCGCTTTCAGACAAATCAATAGAAATGAAACTGCACTCCATCAAATGTGAAAATGCTTTTCCCATTGTATAAGAGTCCTCAGCACTTTGATATAGAAGAACCTGTATGTATGTACAGTTTGGAAACTTTATCACACAGGGGAAAACCCATACAGAAACAGGATTTAAATAGGAAAAACCCGCAAAAGCGGCTAGATTTTCACACGACGTCAATGTTAAACTGTGCTTAACCCAAATGGAAAGTAGTCAAAAGCGGCTTCTTTTTACTTTTGGGAAATCCCGAAAGTAAAAAGTAGCAGCTTTTGACTAGTTTCCATTTGGCTTAAGCGCAGTTTAACATCGACATGTGTGAAAATCTAGCCACTTTTGCAGTTTCCCCCACCTTTTAAATTCCATTTCTGTACAGGATTTTCCCCGTGTGATAAAATCCTTAGGAACACAATATCTGTCTACTGCCCAATCGGAGGTCACCATAGCCATAGCAAATGGAATTGCATAGATGTGTCACTCTATGGAGTCTGTAGTTCATGACTTTCTCTTCCACTTAGGTGGGTTTTCAAATTTTATTTATTTCTCTGAGTTCCCAATCAGAAATGGATCATCATTATAAATTTTATTTTTCTTCTTCAAGCAGGATTCCAAGTTGACCAAGTTTTCTAATCCAAATTTGTCAATAATTAGTTTCTCAGTTTGACAAGTAAGACAAGAGCTGGCTTCACCAAGTCTGTTGTTATTGTTTATGATTGCTAGCAATTATGAAACTCTGCTCAAGTACCAAAGGGTAATTGTACAAAAGAAACTGCCTTATGACCTTAGACTAACCTATCTAATGAAATATCATGTATTCATTCAAATGTTATTTGCTACGTTTATATCCTGATTTTCTTCCTGCTCATGGTGGTACAGTGCTTCTCTCCTTCTCCCCACTTTATCTTCACAACAACTCTGTGGGGTAGGTTTGGCTAAGACTGACTGTCCCAGGATCAACAGTGAGTTTCTCAGCTCAGTGGGAACTAGAGGACCCAGTTTCCCCAGTCTCAGTCCAATACCCTACTCAATAGTTCTCTATTCTGAGTGGCAGCAGCTCTCCAGATCTTAAGGACAGAGTTGTATTCCATTGCCTTTACCCAAACATAGGGCACATCTACATGGGTCAATTACACCAGTTTACCCCTCCCCTCACCATGACCTGTCTACAAATCCCTAATTCAAGTGTGGACCATCTTCAGTTCAGCACCAAACCTACCCTATCCCTGCCTAAATCAGATTTTAAAAATTCACCTTTTCTCCAAATTTTGCAGGAAAATCCAGAGCACTCCATAGTAACACCAGTCTGCTATTTGCAGATGCATCCCACTGTGCTGCCTACCACTGCACCAGCAGCAGCGACACCAGATGGCAAAGCAGGACACGTGTAGACAGTTGTCTGGTGTCACTGCAAAGTGTGAAAATAATGGGGGGGAGGGATCTGGAGAAGCTCTGGAGCCAGGATACTCCAGAACCAACCCAGTGTATTCTGGCCAGTGTAGATGAACCCTTAACTGGAGACGGTAAACCCTAGGCTCTTTTGCATCCAATCAGATGCTTCCCTACTGAGCTACAGTCCCTCCATTCAGTGACTTTTCTGGGAGGTAAAAGTCAGGATTGACACAAATTTAATTCATCCTTTTCCCTGCACCGATGTTTTTAACCTTTATATTGTAGCAATTTTAACTTTTTTACTGTTTTAACTCTTTGTAAGCCGCTTTGATCATATCCATGGAAAGGCGGGGTAAAAATAAAATTTATTATTATTATTATTATTATTATTATTATTAAGTAAGATCCTCCACACAATCTCTCTTGCTCACACCTGTATATGGAATGTGATATCAGATGACCCTCTGCATTCATAGAAATCACAAGAGGGGCATGTATCTTCTGCATGCCATCACAGACCATGCTTAGCCTTGCAGATTACAGTGGGATTTTTTTTCATGGCATGCTGACTCATATTCTATATCAATAATTCCTATATGGGATAGTCAATGAAGAACTGAGTCTAAAGTGGGGTGTTCCATCCTGGTGTTCTTCCTGAGGTGTTCTTCCATCCTGGTGTTCTATGTAGTTTCCCCTCCTTTATGGAATATGTGCCGAAAGAAAAGAAAAGGCAGAAGATAAAATAGGAAAAAATAGGAGAGTTATAGGTGGAAGAAATCATCACCTGTAAAATTCCATGAATGAGGTGAGGCAATTGTAGAAAGGGACGAAAAGCCTTGTCTGGAAGCACATCTGGGTTCCTGAGAGGAATGTATTCCAAAAACCTAACTGCTGGATTTGTACTATTTAGTAAACAGACTTGGATTTCCTGTTGGATAGATCTGGTTCAGGAGAAAATGGAGGAGGCAGCAGCACCAGTTTTTCTGGTTATTCCTCCTGATCCACACCCAGCTTTTGCCAGGTATGGGGAACAGTAAACTGGAGGAACAGTAAGGCCTATGGAGAAACAGCAAGGTACAACAAGGCCGCCATATGAAGGGTGCAGCCTAGAAATTGACCCAGGCTCCTTTGCAGAGTGATGAGGTTCCATGGTCAATGAGCCAGGGTCCATCAATAGACAAGGGAGTTCACTGTTAGAGCAAATGCCCAGTTCAGTGACCTGGCATCTCCAAGTAGTGCTAAGGGGCATGGAGATCCCTCTCTGAAACCCTGGAATGCTTCTGCCAATCAGTGCAGGTAGAAGCCAGTGTTTTTGTTGTTTGTTGTTAACCACCTTCAAGTTGATCTGCTTAGCTATTGCAGATCCATACCCATAACCTCTTTATTAAAGGTTGTGTCCACCCATCTAGCACACAATCTTCCTCTCTTTCTACTTCTCTCCACCTTTCCTATTGTTTTTTCTAAGATTTGTGCCTTCTCATGACATAGCCAAAGTATGACAGCCTCTGTTTGATCGTCTTGGTTTTCTGGGAGATTTCAGGCTTGATCTGTTCAAGAACCCATTTGTTTGATTTTTTTTTAATTGTCCATTGTATCCTCAACACTCTTCTCCAGCACCACATCTCAAATGAATTTATTTTCTTTGTATCCATTTTCTTACATTCCTACATGGTTACAGGGAATCCAGTTGCATCCATACATAGGGAATACAATTGCTTGAATGATTCTAACTTTTGTTCTTAGTTGTATATGTTTGCTCTTTAGGATCTTTTCTAGTTCTTTCATAGCTGCCCTCTCAATTCTTAATCTTCTTCTGATTTCTTGACTGTGGTTCCCATTCTGATCTGTGTTTGATCCCAACGTATTGGAATTTTTTTACTATTTCTATTTCTTCATTGTCTAGGCCACTGGTTTAACATGGTATAAAATAGCTTCCTATTCTCATAAATTCTTATTTGGGAGCTCTTCCACTAGCTCAGTGGTAGAAGACATGTTTTGCAAGTAGTCGGTCCTAATGATCAATCCCCAGCATCTCCAGTTGAAAGGATCAGGTAGCAGGTCGTGGGAAAGACCTCTGCCTGAGATCCTGCAGTTCTGCCAACCACACAAAATAATTCTGTGCAAGATGGACAAATAGTTGGTTCAAAAGCAGTCTCCTTTTCTCTTGTGGGAACCATCCCTTAAAGGTAACCTCTCCAGCTTCAACCTTCCATGACATCCTCTAATAATTTACTCCTGTACTGTTTAAACACCGCAGAAAAGGAATGCTGTGATACATGTTGATTGCTGGGTCTTTTTTATTTGCAATTTCCTTTCCCAAGCAATTGGTTAGTATTCATTTGTAAAATAGTGTTTAATTTTGGTTTGAAGGCTAATGACATATTCTTTTGCTTTTGCTTCAGCAGACAGCTCTCTGCATCAGCCCTATTTTGCCTTCCCACCAAGCAAGGCCTTTAGAATAACATTTATGTTGCATCTGATTAGCATGTGGCATAGAATATGGATTAGCAAGAAGTGCAACAGTTGCTCAAAAGTCTTTTATTTCCCGTTTAGAAGTCATGAGCACCCACCTGGCCTTCCCTGTAATTAGTATTGTGCAAACGCCACTGCCACATCAATTACTTGCAAATCACAAAATTTGTGCAAATTACAATGTTGGGGGTTTGTTAAAAATGTCCTAGCTGAAGGCCAAAATTCCCCTAGAAACAATGAGCTTTGACCATCAATGTTGCTAAGCAGGTTGAAAATTACAGCCCACTCCAAGTTGCTCTTTAATGTGTGGGCTACTTTCAAGAACCTTTTCAAGTGATTTGGCACTATAACAACTCAGTGTTTCCATAGGAGACAAAGGGAAATAATAATCCCAGATTTGCCTCTATCTAGAAAAGCACTCAAGACAGAACAATGCATTACAAGCAAACCTGAAGATGTGTGTGCTCTCTACAGTGTGTGTGGAATTTGTAGAGAAGAATTGCTGCTCTGGGATGTAGCTGTAGAATTTCTTTCACTCCCATCAGTGGATGCTGGGAACAGAACCAGAGACTATCTAGGTCCAAAGCATATACTTTATCCAGAGTTGGGAAATAATACCTTTTGGACTACAGCTGCCATAATAACTCAGTGGTTTGGGTGTTGGACTATGATTCTGAAGACCAGGGTTCAAATCCCACCTTGGGCATGAAACCCACTGGGTTACCTTGGGCAAGTCACACACTCCCAGCCTCAGAGGATGGCAATGGCAAACCCCCTCTGAAGATACCTGCCAAGAAAAACCTGTAATAGGTTCACCTTAGGGTCACCATAAATTGGAAACAACTTGAAGGCATGCAACACACAAACACACACACTGCAGTCATACTGACTGGGAATTATAAGGGCTGCAATTCTGCTGGTGGATAACACTTGGGCACCCTTACCTTCCCCTACCACTAAATGGCTGTGGAGGCATGCATGCACTGGCACTGTGAAGCTGCTTTGCATGGGAGAGAGGTATTGCAGAAGGAAGTATTGAATACCTCCTTCCATAATGTTCCAAAAATTATATACATAGGTATAATGTTTGACTATACCTTCCTGTGTCACCAACAGGATTCCACCTTGAATCATTAAAGGACATGGAAAGTTTGATGGCACTTCCCATATTCCCCATCCAGTAGAACATAAGTCAGAAAACTTTCACTGTCCAGATGTTTTAGACTAAATTTTTTGCAATCTCTTACCCTTGTTTATGTAGATATTGGTGTAAAGCCCAAGGCTCGTCTGTGTAATACAGGGGTTGGCAACCTATGGCCCATGGGCCGGGGCCGGCCTCCGAGGCCTTTCGACCAGCCCCCGATGACCCCCGATGCCGACGACCGCTGTGCCACCACCATGGCGGCTGCAACTCGTTTGCATGACTCATTTGCGCACAGCGGCGGGGAGCAACAGCAGCGGCGGCGGTGGGGGTTGACAGGGGCCACGCATGCGCACATGCGTGCACAAGCACGCGCGTCACCATTTTCCCCCCCTCGGCCTGTGGAAGACCTGGAGGCCAGCGGACTGGCCCCAGGTAAGAAAAACTTGCCGACCCTGGTGTAATAGAAGTTTCTGTTGCCAAAGTGGTGGTTTTCATTTCTGGATGAGGATATCAGAACAACCACAGCTAGGAAATCCCTTTTCCTTCCACACTGTCGTCTTGATTCCACTTAGGGTTTTTTTCCAACTTGCATGTGAATTACTTACACTAACATTGCATGCCATTTATCTGTAGTCCTACTCCTGTCCAAAACCTCAGTATCCCAAGGATGGAAAATTTATGAACATCTGCTCGTGGATTACATAAATCAATTAGGCCACATTCAGTAAGCAAAAAGCAAAGCCATCAAGTGGCATTTACAAAGAAAGAAATAAAAATTATAATTTATTGGTCTGACTCCCATGGGTCAGTCCTAACCACAGGACCACTGAATGATGAGCCATCAGTTCTATCAATTCACTGAATCTATTCTAGTTGGGACTAACAGGCAATGTGTAAACTCAGATTTGTCTGAGCATCTGTTTTCTTTATTTACTCAGTATACTTTTGTTGAAATGTCAGCAGATCATAATGGTAGGCCAAGCTATGTGAAGTGTGAAATTATAGCCAGTCATGGCAGGGGATTATTTTCAGACCTATAAGGTGAATATTGGAGAATTTATCAAACGTGTTGGATGAAATGCCACATGGCTCAGAGAGAAAGAGAATAATTAAAATTAATTGAAAGGCATCAAATTATCCCTGCTGGGGATGAAATAGATTAGTAAACATGGAATAATAGAACCTGAACAAATGATGTTCCTTTCTGAAAGAATGATAAATCCCAGAATGCCTAGCAAGTGGAATATGTGAGTATTCCTCAGTAAAAGTGCCAGCCTGCCATCAGAAAGATGGGGGCAACCACTTCTGGTGACAGATGCTGGCAAGTGTGGGAGCTATGTGTCTCATACTTCCAGTCTACCATTTTGAACAATCATAGAATTATAAATTGGAAGAGACCACAAGGGCCATCCAGTCCATCCCCATTCTGTCAGGCAGGAACACACAAAGAACCACCAACAGATGGCCATCCAGCCTCTGTCTGAAAACCTCCAGAGAAGGAGACTCCACCTCTCTCCAAGGGACTGTGTTCCACTGTTGAACAGCTTTTACTATCAGGAAGTTCTTCCTGATGTTTAGGTGGAATTGCTTTTCTTATAGTTTGAATCCATTGCTCTGGGTCCTATTCTCTGGAGCAGGAGAAAACAAGCTTGCTCCAGCCTCAATGTGACACCCCTTCAAATATTTAAACAAAGCTATCATATCATCTCTTAATCCCTCAGCTGTTCCTCAGTCTTAGAGAACAGAGCTGCCACTCACCCCCATTAGACTATCTGCTGGTACAATGAAGGGTTCTGTCCCATTGCCAGTGTTAAGCAAGTATGTTTGTTCATGAATGATGGGTATTCCAGGTCACAACTCACAGGTGACATGGTCTCTGAAGATAAAAGAATGAAGAGGATTGGAGCTGCATAGTCCCCAGGTCCAAGAGACTCAGCTGTACAGCTGGTATGTAGAGGAATGGTAATTCAGTGATACAGTCAGTGTTTCTGAATCTATATCTGTACACAGAATCTAGGGCATGCATTTTTAAATTTATTATATAGTCAATATTTATAGATGTGTGTTTCTACATATAAATTAGCACATGCATTTTTAAAATTTCTTTGATAAATATTTCTAAATTTGCATTTCCATGTATTTTCTTTCTTTTACATTTTCTTTTTCCCCCTAAATCCTCTTTACTTCTCTTTTTTGGGTGACGCATAACCAGCCACCCGATATTCACTGATAGCAGTCACTGGTTTTAGTAGCTTTAGTGGAGGAGATGAGACAATTAATGGAGGAGTTAAAGGGTATCAACAACAGTGAGCCAAGGTGACTAAACAGATTATCTCTGAATGCCAGTTGCTGGAGGCCAAACCATGAGGAAAGCTGTGTGTGACCTTTATAAAAGCATCTCACTAGTGCCTACTGCTGAAAACATAATTCTTGGGTAAATTGACTCTGGCCTCTTCCAGTTTGTATGCTCCTCTCTCTTTTACCCTCTTGATTTGCAGATCAGAATAGGGAATAGGAAGCATTTACTTCTTATTTAAAATAAATCACAGTTCCTAATCACACACAAGTTCAAGGAGCTCAAAAAGTTATTTTTTAAAAAAATAAAGAGCTATTGTTCTGAGACACCGTCAAAGTTAGTTACAATTACAGTTTGGCAAGAGAGGAATCTTTATTTTCCTGTTATTCAGAAGTAACTAAAATAATTCCTTTTTAGAAATATTTTTCTTAAAAAATCATAATACTAGATCCTAAGTGCTGAGGCTAAACTGATGCTAGAACTACAAAGATAACTAAAACTAATTACAGTTATAGCACAAAAAGAGTGAAGCTCTATGTTGTTATATTGCAGTCATGAAAACATGATGTAACTAATTTATGCCTTAGTTGTTGCAAAAACAAGTAAGTTTAAAGTAAGTTTAAAGTGACTGGTTATTTCTAGCCAGTTCCTTCAAAGTGCTAGTTTTAACTCTAGTGGTGGAAACAAACTTGGAATCAAAACTTGATTTCAGGCCCTAGCTTGCTTACTAACCAGGATGAAAACAAACCAACATTTGAAAATAAGAAGAAACTGTGGCTTGTTCAAGAGTTGAAATAGATGCTTATTATTTCTTCATGAGCAATAACAGGGTAGGAAGTAAGAGCATCTGAATCCAAGACTCATGTAGGCTTGCTCACGTAGGAGGAAACTGTGGCTTTTCATTGCATCAGAATTGGAGCAATTAATCTCTTTGCTTGTTTGCATTTGATTTTTGTTCGTCTTTACCATCAGATATTGTATACAGCACCCCTTATATTGGTGCACTAAAAGTAGTGGTGATATGGCTCGTTTCTGAAATACTATCCAAAGTTGGTTGAGGGAGGCTTGCAATTGCTTTGTCAAGGCACAAATAACAAATCTCTCCTGGGATACGTCGCTGCAATGCAGCAGCTATCTACAGCAGAAGGAGTATGAGATTCCCCAGACTGATAGTTAATTAGATTACAGACACTGCTGTGGAATGCTAATTCAGTGGTGTGTTAGTGTGTTGCTGTGTGCAGTGAATCAAAGCAACAGGCTCACAATGGGCAATTCTGCCCTGACTAGCCTTGTTACAGAAGGTAATGGGGTATTGGCTGGCCATTAATCTGTTCTTATTGAGAAACAATCAGTAGGATAAGACCTACTGTGAAATGCACAAAGTTAGCAGTGGCCATTGAAGTGCTGTATGTATGCATTCAGATATTCTTACCCAGGAGCAATCTTTGGACCTTATTGCTTGTTTTTTGCTGTCAAATTTGCCGCCCGAATACAGCTGTGGTGCATCCCCGCTTCCAGGCGCACTCCTCGTGGCTCTTTTCCAATCCAGGAGTTTTCTGGCTTAAGAAAATGGCCACAAGGATGGCTCTGGAAGTGGGATGGACCCAGGCTGTATTTGGGCAGCAAATTCGGTAGCAAAAAATGTCTGATAAGATCAGGATGCCGCCAAAATTAAAATTAAACTGCATAGAGATAAACTGATTTAAATAGCCAAGTGATAAGCTACAGCATTATCCTTATTTCACCGTACCTTTGGGGGAATTCTCTCTTTCAGGATGTAGCTCTCTTGACCAAGCATGCTGCATGCTGGCTCTCTCATATAGGAAAAGGATGAACCTTGTCTTTAGTCCATGTGTCACTGGCTGCCAGTGTCTTCCATAACAGGGGTATGTGAATCTGCTGTGTGGTTTATACCTGACTTATGCCCCAAAATAGATTCAGCACTTTAAATGGTGCCTTTAAAGTCAGGCATAGAACAGATGAAATCCAGCACAATGTAGTAGTTTGAGTGTTGGACTAGGACTGTGGAAATCAAGTTTAGATTCCCTGCTCAACCATGGAAACCTACTGGGTGACCTTAGGTAAGTCACATACTCAGCCCTAGAAGACCATGTGATAGGGTCACCTAAGAGTTGCTATAAGTAGGAAATGACTTGAAGGCACACAACGACAACAGATAAAACAAAGAGCAGCTTTATTACATCCCTGACATAGAAGCCACCAGCTGCCACTGATAAATTGCTCATGTATGAACACAAAGCTGGTG